ACTGGAACGACAACTTCATCAGTGTGCTGCTTGGCAATAAAAATGGAAACTTTTCGACTCCAAGAAAGTATACAACCGATCGGGGATCATCCTATATAATATCAGGTGATCTCACAAATAATAAGATAATGGATCTAATCGTGATAAGCAACAACTCTCAAGGCTTGTCTGTTTTTCTGAACAACTGTGAGAACTAATCATCTGATTTTGAATTCATTAACATATGAATTGATTGTTGATTGTCGGTGAGGAATAATCGTGCACTGCATTGAAAAATGACGGCGCGAGTGTGGGTGGGCTGTGGATGTAGGTGCTGTGTGGATGAGGTGTGAATGGGTGTGGGTGAGTGTGGGTGCGTGTGGGTAAGGATGGGGACGGCTGTGGATGTGAGTGTGGGTGTGGCTGTGAGTATGGGGCGTCGGTGTGTGAGATGGGATGCGTGGTGCGAGGGTGTTGGCGTGGAGCGTGGATGGGTGTCGCTGTGGGGGTAGGCAGGTAATGGTGATGTGGATGGGGTTTATGGGTACGTATTTGGCATGTGAGTATGGGTGAGTATCGATGTGGATATATGTCTTCTTTTTATATGCACCTACTTTCCGCAATCATACATCCTATACAGATCCACATTCACACCTATGCTCTCCACACTCCACCTGATTCTGACACCCACACCTACACACATAACTATACTCACACCCACACCCACCCTTTGATTATTGAGGAGAAAAAGAATATTGTTGACGGTATACGATATCGATTACGATAGCTTCTAGAACAAAAATATTCAGTGTATCATTCGCTGAAAAAAACCTACTCTGTGGACGTCAGTCTGTGAATGAGATGGTAAGCATCGCACACACTCAATAACACTTGTTTGAAGGAGCATTCGTCAGAATCATTAGCAGTATTTCGCATTACTGATTGAGTTAAGCTATAGTTGTATCGGAAACCCACGCGTTAAAAATTCAATCGTTTTATTTAATGTTTGTGATTTATGTGAATTTTAAGTGATAAATGATACTGAACGGTGGAGAAGGTGTGAACGTAAAAGATTTTTATTGAATCTATGTTTGTTTTTTTGAAATAACGATCATGTTCCAAAAAAAACGAAGTTTTGTTTGAAAATACGAGCATTATTGTTTGTCATCATTGCATGATTTTCTATAGGTGTGAAGCTTAAGTCCCAGCAAATATAATAAAATTTATAAGTTGATAGGGTGGCATAATACTGAATAGTTTCCTTTCTCCTACCATGGCTGTTTCTCCTTCTAATTCATGAGAATGCCCTCATGATGCTCGAATATCAATCTTTGTATAGTCTGTGTTGATTGTGTGTGTGTGTGTGTGAAACCCATGATCATTACCATTTCCACCTGTGGAGCTTGCAAAAGATTATATTAGTCGACTGTAAGCAGACGCACCTGTGTTTCCACCGTGGTTATGACCAGGATCTACAATGTTGTGTGAATGCACACCAGCCATTCGTGAACGTAGTACATCTTTTACATGTGCGTGCGGAGGAAGTTCGGCTTGTGTCAATGTCACGCTTGATGTGCCCCCTAGTGTCCTACCTGACCGTTGTCTGAGGTTAGTATTTTAAGACCCAATGGAAGGCGTTGTCGAAAATCGAGTATATTGAATGTTCGAACATCATAGCGTGATCTGTAACGTGCCAATGACTCGAAATAAAGTCTGATAATCCTTACGAGAAACTGCAGTCCAATCACAGAGTAACCAACCGGCTGGAATCTCATCATCAGCAAATAAGGTAGTGCTTCCGATCAGTTGGGTAGTTGATGGAGTAGTAGATCTATTAGAAAGAGCAGACATCCAACAGCTTTCATCACAATTCTTAGTGCATACAAAGGTGAAACACAATTGAATCATTCTACTTCGACTCAAATGGATACCTTCAGTTTATTCATCATCACCTCCGAAGGCATTGGAAACTTGCTAAAACATATGTAAATGCAAAAAAGACTGGTGGTTTTTGGATGTCATTCGTGGTTTCAGACATTCAGTGAAACAACCAGAAAAACCATTCGTAGTATGCGTGTAGACGTTTAAAAGCGGACTTTTTGAGCACTTACACGCATTTGGAAAATACTACGCATAAAAATATGCTTAGAATTCACATTTTGTGCCTGTCAACGAGAATAAATGATGAGAATATAAAATATTGATGTAAAAAAACTTAAAAGTTACATTTCAGCAATTTTTATCATCGCATTTCCTGAAACGCGTTTAGACATCAAAGGCATCCATCTTTTGGGCGTTTACAAGCACTTTCGAAACTCTCATCAGCCTGGATTGTGACATCTTCAAAAATTGAGTGAAGAAATGTCTTTTAAGATTAACAAGATTGAGTAACTAGTGAAAGACAATACTCGCATTCACATTTAGCCCCACACATACCTTAACCTGTCTAACAGCCTATGCATCTGCCAAAGGCTGCTATGACGCTGGAACCCTATACTATAATGTAGGTTTATACGATATGGCGCGTGATCATCTGTAAGACTATAGGTTCTAGCAACTGTAACTTCATGAGGCAACAACTCTTCTAGTTTTATAATTAAGAGTGCAAATAAACATGTTTTCGCGCTCGGTCATTCACTAGCTCTTCCTGCTGACACAATCAGCAACCTACTCCATCCACTGATGAACTGTACCTCAACCAGATGTATCCAACAAGTAAAGCAGATTACAGTCATTGATTAAATTTGTTAAATTATACATTCAAGTTTTAAAATAACCAGTTATATACAGGATTTACAGCATAGAAGGTATTTCATCGATGCTTTTATCAAGAGTTAGACTATGTCCCCTTCTAATCAGTCGCTACTGGTACATCCATATCCTCGTCAGATTTCGTCTCTTACGCTATTGAGCAAGAACAGTTCGAAACTTTGAAACTGATGCCTATGTGATTAAAAGACCAGTGGTTACATTAACAAATACATGAATCAACCAAAGCGAAATAAATCCACAATATTTCTGAAATTAAACTATGATTCTATATGTGGTATACCGTTGACTGCTGAACAGTCTACATAACATAAGGCAAAATAGTAATTCGTAAAGCATGCTGTTGACTACTGTGAAAATACTGGTGGGTTCGGTATTTTTCACCGATTCATTTATATTCACTGATCGGTGCATGTACTTCAGCGAACTATAATAAATTTCTTCCGAGTTTCGATAATGCATTCGCAATAATCAATGATATAGAAATGCAGCTTAATAAAGCACTTACACTACCATCTACTTTCATAACGTTTGCTTGCTGGCAATCATGAGAAAACCGTTCAGCAGACTGACTGTGCATAATTTAGCGCTAATTCGCTTGCTTATTGAGAAAGTGCGATACTCAACTTACTTGCCGTCTCACTGTACAGAACATTACTATGCTGAATCGATAGTTGAATGAAGGACGATTTCGTGAGTATGAGGTACGGGTGATCAGAGTGAATCGTAATTCAACTGACAATAATACTCACACCCACAC